ATTTGTTAGCTACAAATGCAAATAGGGTTGTCAAACAAAACGCTCATTTTTTAAAGCAAATTTAAATTAAAGTGCACTAAACTTTGCAAATGCAGCAATTGTGAGAACAGTGAGGTAGATCTAGTTCAATGGATAGATCCCAGATAACGTAGATGAAGGCAGTGGACTGTGATCATGATAAAAGCTAATGTGCTTGTGTGATGTTACTCTGAGTGTATATCACACAAGCATCTTATTCACCTGAGTACATTACATCAATACAGCAAATTTCAAAAGCTAATGTGTTATTAGTTACTATATGGTACTAATTATAGTATTGTTTAAATATGTATTTTATATATTTACTGTTAAGTATTTGGTAGTTTTTGGCTTACCATACTGATACAAATATATCCATATTTACTACAATTATGTCCATTAATTCCTCTTAATATCTTCAAAATGGCAAAATATAAAATTGAAGTTTGTTTCGTCCTTTATTACACGCCATAAAGATGAAATAGTGTGCACATAAGTTCATAATCTTGAAAGAATGCATAGTGTTGCTAAATATCTTCGTACAAAGCCAGAAAATACGCTTTGTCGCAATGATATATGAAACTTGAAAATCGTGTTGCTGATTGTTTACATCAAATCTGATTTCACATATCTCAAGAGGAGGTGGAAGTGACCTATCCTGTATAATTTTCACTATGGCGCGCAAGTGACTGGTTCCGAGAGCAGGCATTTTGACGTATGGCATATAGTAAAAATGCTATTGCGAAACTAGTAAATTTTAAGATTTTGATCGCAATTTACAAAAAAACTGCAGGGTGAACCCGCAAGAACTTTTTAGATTTGGATTCAGCGTCACTTAATCTATAAGAATATGTCATTTTCTTTTAGTTTAAAGAGGTGTGCAACGAAAATCGTTTTCTAGCCATCTTTTGGGGCACTAGACGACGGCCTACTGGCCTCTGTAGCTCAGTTGCTTAGAGCGCTGCACCGGAATCGCAGGGCCGTAGGTTCAATTCCTACCAGAGGACCTTGTGCTGCATTTTTCGCAGTCGTTCCTTGTTAGGTCTTAAAATGTATATATTCTCACTTGGATTACAAACCCTAACATTCAAATATTAATCCCAACAAGTGAAGTGCAAGAAACCAAATTATTGAAGTCCACCTTATCATAACCCGCACACCCGATTACCTAAATATACATGAACTTATGATTAAAGCTCAACAGCTGGCCGAGCTGTAGCTCAGTTGGTTAGAGCGCTGCACCGGAATCGCAGGGCCGTAGGTTCAATTCCTACCAGAGGACCTTGTGCTGCATTTTTCGCAGTCGATCGTGGTTAGGTCTTAAAATGTAGTATACTCACTTGGATTACAAACCCTAAAGCCTGGTTCACATATATGTCTGCGACGTGCCTGCGACGTACCGGCGACGATGCCGGTGGTAGCTTAAAACGTAAATTATGTGAATATTTGTTCGCCGATTGCCTCCAGTGCCACAGTTACATCGGCGGTAGACCGGGAAAGTTGACTTGAGTTCAACTTTGCCGGTATTTCGGCGGCAAGTAGAGGCATAATGATACAGTCGCAGGCATACCGCAGGCATATGTGAACCAGGCTTAACATTCTAATATTAATTCCACCAAGTGAAGTGCAAGAATCCAATCTTTTGTTTGCTATTTATATTTTGTTCGGAACACGCAAATAGTCGAAATATATTAAAATTGCTTCGAGACGAAAGTTAAAGTGATGACGACAAAACCACAATGCGCGAGAATTGTCAAGATTTGCAGTATTAATATTAATATACCGCGGTTATGCAATTTCAAACCGAACAACTTTATATAAATTACAGACATTTAAGTACCGACTATAGTCCATAATGTAGCAATTTTCAGTGCGCACTAGTTTGCAGTTGCTATGCGCAGGGCTCATTTTCTATGGACGTGAAGTTGGTATTCATCACCATTTTGTAATGACTAATGGTACTAAGGCAAGAATTTACCATTTGTTGATATGTCATTGATAGTAGATGGCATAAAAGTCTGGGCTAAGCAAATGTTTTTCTATCTGAAAACAAAATGTCTCTTGTCACTGAATATTTTGTGAACAAATTTTGTGAACAAACATGAACCAAGGGCAGCCTTTGTAAATGGAATATAATTTAAAACTAAATCCAACTATTACCCTTAACCCGAAAAGGGATGGTCGACAAATAGATTTCGTCCTACTTTGCAGAATTGTGAAAATAGCCCCAAGTGAGAGAGCATCGATCACAATTCTGAACCAAAGAGCACAAACAGCATAGAGCATCACAGATGACCCAGACATGTATTAGTATATAGTAAATATATCATTATAGAATATACTGCTCAGTAAAATCTGTAATGAATTTTATATTTTTGTTGACACAGCGAGCGAGCCTGAAGTGAGCGAGCAAGTCAGCAGTTCTAATTCATATTGGGCTCAGAAAGTAAGATTTTACTTCTGTTTCTCTGACCTGAATGCGCTGCTGTTAACCAACCAGAATGCTTTGCATGCATGATGCTATAAATATGGGGAATCTCATCAAATCTCATTAGTCAGTTTATCAATCCGGTAACGATGCAGTTGTTTTGGTGTATTTTGTATTCATTGTATGGTCTGTTGATTTCTGGCTGGTCTTACACTGTATATACTGAATTTGCTTATTGCAAACAATTTATAACGCTTGGAAAGCGATATCATTTAGCACTTAGCACTTACAGTATAGTAAACTCAACATTGTATAATTGCATGCATGAAAGCGTTCATTTCAAGTGTTAAAAGCGAATTAATTTCATCTCGATTGTTGTCGATCAGTTTGGTATAATTTAAAAGGGGTTTCGTCTGTTGACTTTTTGTTTGAATTGAATATGATTTGACTAGTATATATATAAGGTTATTGACACAGAGACATGGCATCAACAGTTCGGCAACTGCATGCAACTATAGTGTGGCATTTTGAAAGAACGATGCTTTGCATGCTATATTTCATGGATTAATTAAATGTACTTTTGCATGCCTGCTAAAGCATGGTACACTATACTGTATACAGGGGCAAGTCAGTGGGATTGAAGTATGTGCATGGAATACTTTTATCATTGGTCATGTTTTTGTTATGTTAGGCAGGTTTCAAATGCATTAATTAAAAAAAACAATGTCCTCAACTCTAGTTATCGAAGTAACATGGCTTTAAGTTGACGTCCTTAAAATAGCTTTAATTTGTAGAGCTCACAATTTTCTGTTCTTGGGGGTTTAAAGGAACTTCATTCTTATGCATACAATTTACTTATGTCAAGCTTTTATGCACTTGTGTGTTCAGCAGAGTGCTGAGGCATTCAAATTCTACCAATACGATATTTCAATAATTTTGGTTTTTTTAGGACATGCTGTATGTTGATCAGACTTTTACATTTAAGTTATAGCTTAAAACATGAGTAGTCTGTGCTTTATCAGATATAAAACCTTCAAGCCGCGCTCTTGTCTTTTATATTTAATGTCAGTAAATGCGAAGTGATGAGAATTACACATTCTAGAGATAAGTCAGTTCCAAATTACCATCTTGAAGACATGTCATTAAAAGTGGTACAGTACATACTACATAGTGTTAAAGATTTGGGAGTTTATTATACGGTATTCATTTTGAGTTAATCAATGGTGTTTCCTGCAATCTGATTGGTTCAAAGATTGATTGCTTTCAATCGCAGTGCGATTCGTGCTCAGAAATCGCACTCCTGTGAACCAATCACATTAGAGTGCTGACTTCAGCCAACCAATCATATTTAATCACAGGATTCAAACAGCCAATCAAATTTAACAAAAATTGTTATGGCAAATGAGCACAAAAACAAAAAATTTACATATGTAATGAAATATGATTTAAAATTAAGCAATTTTTTGCACATAAAAACAAAATAATATGGATAGCTAAAGTAAACTATCAAAGAATTGCAAATTTTCAAATTTCACAAATAGTAACAGGGAAATAAATAATGGAAATTGAACTGAGTGGAGTGCAATTTGGACTGAAATCAAACGCGTGATTAAAAAATCGCACGACCGCTTTGCGGTCGAGCGATTTGTAATCACAAGTTTGATTTCAGTTCAAAATTGCACGACACGAAGTTCAATTTCCACTTTATTATATTCATTTTGAAATCTTAAATATTTTTGTAAACCGGAAACGTTTTTGTTTGCAAAAGACACACCTCCGGTACCTCCCTGAGTGCTGTAGCATAGCAACAGTAAGCGAACAAGATGAAAAGTTTTGTAAGTTTTGTTTATAAATACGTTCAAATACTGCAAAAAATGCCAAAAATCTTAAAGAAATGAAGACATTTATAAAGAATAAGTGACAACACAAGTAAGTTTAAACATATTGTAGGTCTTACGAGTGATTGAAAGAGTTTTGGTGCAGTTTTGTGCGTTTAAAATTGGAAATACGATAGGCGAATTTACCTTTGTTTTCCCGGAGTCCTGTCTGTCCTGACGCTTCAAATTTGCTTTTGTTAGCATTTTTGCCAGTTACTATTTGTGAAATTTCAAAAGAATTATAATTCTTTGCAATTATTTGATAGTTTACTGTAGCTATCCATATTTTTTTTTGTTTTTATGTGCAAAAAATTGCTTAGGCACTCAAGGGTATTAAATCGGGCATGTTGTAAAACCTGGACTGGACTGGACTTGTAAAACCTGGACTGGACTCATTTGTAAAACATGGACTGGACTCATTTGTAAAACCTGGACTGGACTCATTTGTAAACGCAAGGATCACGCTTATAAAATTCGGGATTCTCTTGTGGAAAACCCAAAAAGGTTTTGGGCGCTCATTAAATCATCTACAATAACAAAACCTATACCAAAATTTCTTAGAGATGGTCAACTGTTTGTAACAGACAATAAAGCTAAAGCAGAATTATTAAACAAATACTTCCACTCTGTATTCGCTACACCTGACCAACATCAGCCACTGCAATCTCAATTATCAGACGTTGTTACACAAAGGACCGTTAGATACGCTGATCGTCTGTCGAACATTGAATTAACGGAAAGCGAAGTCGCCAATGTGCTTAAGAGCTTGGATCCTAATAAGGCTTGTGGCCCGGGTGGAATACCGAACAGACTTCTTCAGAACGTGTCGACCGAAATTGCACCATCCCTATGCAAGCTATTTAACTTGTCGCTATCCCAGAGGGTTGTTCCTTCAGAATGGAAGTTAGAAAATCTTTCGCCGATTTTAAAAACCGACGACCCAACAGTCTCCTCCAATTATAGACCCATCTCGCTCCTAAATACAATTTCCAAGGTACTCGAACGCTGTGTATTTAATCATTGTAGTAAGCATCTGGAGCCTCAGATATACCATTTACAGCATGGTTTCATGAAGGCTCGATGAACAGTAACTCAACTTGTCGAGGTCTATGATGATATTGTAAACTCTGTCGCAAGTGGAAAGGAGGTAGATGTGTTGTATCTTGATCTAGCCAAAGCATTTGACAAAGTGCCTCATAATTTGTTACTCTTGAAACTTCAGTTGCATGGTATCACAGGTCCACTATTGTTATGGATGAAGAGTTATCTTTCTGAACGAAAACAGAGGGTTGTCCTGGAGGGTGCTTCTTCTGATTGGCTACCAGTAACATCAGGCGTGCCACAGGGCTCCATTCTAGGACCTTTGTTGTTTTTGGTTTATGTGAATGATCTACCAAGTTGCATTATTAATAACTCGAATATTGCACTTTTCGCTGATGACTCGAAATTGTATCGGGCGATGGACATAAATTATGACCATAACTTACTTCAAGCCGATTTAGACTGTCTACATACATGGAGCCACAGTTCGGAATTAGACTTCAATTCGCGGAAATGCAAAGTATTACATATTTCAAAGAAAAGGTTAACTCGGGAAATGAATAGAAATTACAGTCTTGGTGACCAACCGATTGAGTGTGTGCCTTCATTTGTCGACCTCGGGATTACTATATGTCACAATTTAACCTGGGCAGATCATATTGAGAAAATTGTTGTTAAAGC